TTTTTGGAGTTTTTAGTACAAATTATCCACGCGGCAGCATGTTTTGGGACAAAAAGTTGGATTTCTAGGCATTTCTCTGACTAATTTTTAAGAAAGTTTTCATGATCTTAAGACTATAGTCTTGCTTGTTTTGGGTGATATTTTGACTTGTTCAAATTTATACACCTGGCATTATGTTTCGGGGCATAAACTTTAAATTCAAATCCGATAGCTTAGCTGTTGGATTTGTATGAGTACAAATCCGACAGAACCCCTGGATCACTTATACCTGCCCATAAAAGAAGTATACTTCTGAAAAAAAGTATTCTTCATGAATAACTGTACTGTCTACAGCACGCATTTTCACTTCTAATTTAAAAATAAATCTTTTTGAGTATACAAATCCTACGGGTAGAATTCACCCATCATAAAAGTACACCGTGTATTAAACTATGGATATACTGTATTAATCCCATTGGTAGAATTCAGCCATTATACAAACAAATCTGATGGGGAATACAAATCTGATAGCTAAGATATCGAATTTGTATGCCCCATTTCTAGGAGTAACTGATGTTATGAGCAGGGATAAGCAATGCGCAGTACCCAAAGCCTTTGTATACCCGTATACAACTCTGATAACTAAAGTGATCGGTTTATAGTTTTAAGCACGGCGTATTTTTTGATGGCTGAATTGTACCTATCGGATTAATATATTTATACTTTATTATGTATGTATGTGTGTATGTGTATGCATTTAACCTTGTCTCCTTCATGCCATGGTCTCCTGCAGCCATCAGCCTGCGTTTTCTTCCACCTGCTGTTCACACGTCCTGCTGCTAGCTCTGCAATGGAGTTGTTTGAAGGGGAGTAGGATGTGAGATTAATTATATAAATAACTAAAATAGAACTCGATATGAATGTTCATATTGCACTGCATGGTAAACACTGGTAACTTCTACTGCAGTAAGTTTACCCAACCCTGTGTCATTTAGTTTGCAGGGGGAAAAAAATACTACAAACTTTTGGGTGTTTTCTGTTGTGTGTGAGACTCACGTGCACTGTGTTGTTTCCCATCAGATTCACCATCACGTCCGACAGAAAAGCCGTTATAAACCAAATTCCAGAATGCTGGTTAAGAATCTCCACCCGCCGGTCTCAGCCAAAAACATCTTTTTTCAGCACACTGCATACCTTCCCAGCGTCAAAATAACTGCGCTTACAATTTCAGACGCTAACGTTTGTGCTAATGCTGCAGTCAGCAGTTTGATTGACACACCACTCAGCCTGTCAGCTACCGCCTTAGCCACAACGTCGCCCTATCATTGCTATGGACTACACTGATAGGCGTGTTAATAGACAGCCAGGTCGACCGACTCTTTTTATTGATTCGAATCTTTGACCCTCGAACAGTTAAATGAACGAGTCGTGAACGAATCTTGAACTAATCATTTCATTCGTTTTACAGCAGGTGGCGCTTTAGCCCTATTGTGGGCGTTGTAAAGGCTGCGGTTCTCCGACACTAAATATGAAGGCAACATGGTTTGCTTCCGCTGACAAAGTCTACAAAGTACGCAAAAGTTCACAAGCAATTAAAACCATGCGAAAATTTAAAAAATAAAAACACAGCACAATGTGAAGATGAATGAGAGCAAAAGAGACCCGAGCTCTCTGTCACGTGACTAATGAAACGAATCTGCGAGAACGAAGCGACAGAATAGTTCACAGAGAATGATCCGTTCATAGCGAAAGATTAGTTCACAGCGAAAGATTATTTCACAGAGAATGATTCGTTCACAGCGAAAGCTTAGTTCACGGCGAAATATTAGTTCACAGCGAAATATTAGTTCACAGAGAATGATTGAGACATTGAGTCTGAGTGGACTATGTTCTCCACTTCCATTGTTGATGCGGCTGTCCGAAGCTGCGGTCGTAAGGTCTCCGGTGCCTGTCGCGGAAATCCCCGAACCCGGTGGTGGACACCGGGAGTAAGGGAAGTCATCAAGCTTAAGAAGGAGTCCTACCGAGCCTGGTTGGTTCGTAGGACTCCTGAAGCAGCCGAGAAATACAGACAGGCC